ATCGTGTACTTCACTGCTACATTCCCCTATGTGGTCCTGGTCGTGCTGCTGGTGCGAGGAGTGCTGCTGCCTGGGGCCCTGGACGGCATCATCTACTATCTCAAGCCTGACTGGTCAAAGCTGGGATCCCCTCAGGTGAGGGCAGTGGGGAGGCTGCAGCAGGGCACTGCAGGAAGCCCAGCAGGCCCCTCATGCCTGTGCTCTCCTGCCCTCCTCTAGGTGTGGATAGATGCCGGGACCCAGATTTTCTTTTCTTATGCCATTGGTCTGGGGGCCCTCACTGCCCTGGGCAGCTACAACCGCTTCAACAACAACTGCTACAAGTACGCACTGCTGCCCTGCCACCTGTGCCCTGCCCCGCCCCACTGCCCAGCAGCCTAACCTATCCACTCTGGCCCCTCCACCCCCCAGGGATGCCATCATCCTGGCTCTCATCAACAGCGGGACCAGCTTCTTTGCTGGCTTTGTGGTCTTCTCCATCCTGGGCTTCATGGCTGCAGAGCAGGGTGTGCACATCTCCAAGGTGGCAGAGTCAGGTAGGGCCCTACCCCCCGCCCCACCTCCACAGCAGAAACTGGCACCCAGATGCACAATGTACATGAATACGCAATAGAAATGCTGAAAAGTGACGAGGATTCAAACGGGACTTGTCAGATTGTGGGCCTTCGGGGACAGGTCCTGGGATTTGTCAGTGTTGACAGAGGGAGAAAGGACCTCCCAGCCCTGCTGCACAACCCAGGGTTCACAGCGCCTCCAAGGCAGGACGCCTGCTGCGAGGTCTAGAGCCTGCGCCTTTTCCTCAGGGCCGGGCCTGGCCTTCATCGCCTACCCGAGGGCTGTCACACTGATGCCTGTGGCCCCGCTCTGGGCTGCCCTGTTCTTCTTCATGCTGTTGCTGCTTGGTCTCGACAGCCAGGTTTGCATGGGGATCCAGGACAGGGAGCCAGGAGGGAGGCGGGCAAGGAGAGGGGTGGAGGGTGGTGCAGGGCTTGGCCTGAGCTGCCCTGGCCACAGTTTGTAGGTGTGGAGGGCTTCATCACTGGCCTCCTCGACCTCCTCCCGGCCTCCTACTACTTCCGTTTCCAAAGGGAGATCTCCGTGGCCCTCTGCTGCACCCTCTGCTTTGTCATCGACCTCTCCATGGTGACTGATGTGAGTGGGGTGGGGGATCTCCCTGTGGCCTCTGGTGGCCGTCTGCCATCTTCCCTCACTGGAGTCTGTCCACCAGGGCGGGATGTACGTCTTCCAGCTGTTTGACTACTACTCGGCCAGTGGCACCACCCTGCTCTGGCAGGCCTTTTGGGAGTGCGTGGTGGTGGCCTGGGTGTATGGTAGGTCATGGCTGAGGGCTGGGCTGGGGGACAGTTGGGGGGCAGGCAGGTCTCCAGCTGGGCCCTCCCGCCTCACCTCGCCACAGGAGCTGACCGCTTCATGGACGACATCGCCTGTATGATCGGGTACCGACCTTGCCCCTGGATGAAATGGTGCTGGTCCTTCTTCACCCCACTGGTCTGCATGGTAAGGGCTGGGGGAGGCAGAGTCGAGGGAGGCGAGGCAGAGTGGGGGCCCGACTAACCATGGCATTCTGGTTCGTAGGGCATCTTCATCTTCAATGTTGTGTACTACGAGCCACTGGTATACAATAACACCTATGTGTACCCGTGGTGGGGCGAGGCCATGGGCTGGGCCTTCGCGCTCTCCTCCATGCTGTGTGTGCCGCTGCACCTCCTGGGTTGCCTCCTCAGGGCCAAGGGCACCATGGCCGAGGTAAGGACCCTGCCCAGCACACCCTCCCCTTTGCTGCTGTGAACATTCAACCCAGCCTGCTTCCTAGCCAGGGAGTGGCCCTTACTGGGCTGGCAGGCAGTGGGAAGTGGAGAGAGGCGGAAGTAGTCACCTGGGGACGAGCAGGTGACCCGGGGCTACAGCATGGCCTCCTCTCCTGCAGCGCTGGCAGCACCTGACCCAGCCCATCTGGGGCCTCCACCATTTGCAGTACCGAGCTCAGGACGCGGACGTCAGGGGCCTGACCACCCTGACCCCAGTGTCCGAGAGCAGCAAGGTCGTCGTGGTGGAGAGTGTCATGTGACAGTCCAGCTCACATCACCAGCTCACCTCTGGTAGCCATAGCAGCCCCTGCTTCAGCCCTACCCCACCCCACCAGGGGGCCTGCCTTTCCCTGACACTTTTGGGGTCTGCCTGTGGGAGGAGGGGAGAAAGCACCATGAGTGCTCACGAAAATAACTTTTTCCATTTTTAATAAAATGCCAAAAATATCACAACCCACCAAAAATAGATGCCTCTCCCCCTCCAGCCCTAGCCAAGCTGGTCCCAGGCCCTCACTAGCACCCCACCCCTGGCCCGCAGTGCTGCCCTCCTCCTGTCCCTGCCATGCACACCCCTGCCCACCTCTCCAGCCTCTGCTCTGCGGCACACCGTTGGGTGACTCCTCACCCCAGAAGCAGCAGTGGCAGCTTGGGAAACGTGAGGAAGGGAAGGAGGGAGAGACGGGAGGGAGAAGACAGGAGAAGAGAGGCAAGGGAGGGGCGGCGGAACTGAGGCCAATATTTCAGCTGGGCTACACCCTCTCCCCCATCCCTGTTATAGAAGCTTAGAGAGCCAGCCAGCAATGGAACCTTCTGGTTCCTGCGCCAATCGCCACCAATCTGTGTGAGCTTGGGTGCGAGTGCACGCGTGCGTGAGTAGGTCGAGTATATATAGATCTCTATCTCTTAGCAAAGGTGAATACCAGATGTAAATGTTGCCTCTGGGCAAAGGAGGCTTGTATTTTGCACATTTTATAAAAACTTGAGAGAGTGAGATTTCTGCTTGTATATTTCTAAAAAGAGAAATGAGCCCAAACCATCCTCTCCTTGCCACTCCCATCCCCGTAAGCCCCACCTTGCCCCTCTACCCCTAGCCAAGGAGTGTGAATTTATAGAGCTAACTTTCATAGGCAAAACAAAAGCTTCCAACTGTTGTGTGTGTGAGTCTACTGTGTGGACGTGCGTGTGTGGTCCCCAGCCCCAGACTGGATTGGAAAAGTCCATGGTGGGGGCCTCAGGGCTGTCCCCACGCTGTCCCTTTGCCCACAAGTCTGGGGCAAGAGGCTGCAATACTCCGTCCTAGGTGTCTGGCCTGCTCAGTCTTCCCGCCCTGTGCCCTGGGCTGGGCAGACCCCCAGGAAGGGACCTGGGGCACAGCTCCCACCTCCAGGCTTAAGGCGGATATACTTCCTGCACCTCCAGTCTTCCATGTAGCAGCTTTCACCCGCATATGTCTGTGTCACATCCAGTCCCGAGACAGCTGAGTGACCTGAGAAAGGCTTCCCCCACACCCGGACAGAGGCTGGAGGGCTGGGGCTGGGTGAGGGAGGCAGGCCTGCAGGGACATTCTTACTGTGCTAAAAAGTCACTGCAAACATAGCAATAAAAACCTGTCATTTTCCAAAGCGGGCTCCTGCTTCCGCCTCTGCTGCTCTAAGAAGGGGTTGGGGTGCAGGAGGTAGGGCAACCTCCTCCAGCTGGAGCTGCTGCGGCGGGCAAGGCTCTGCTCTGGTGGCCTCTGCAGCCAGGGTCGGCCCCCTTCTGGGGACTGGGAAGGCAGCAGCCCAGGGAAAGCCTCGTCCCCTGGAGTGGAGGCACTTGGGGAGAGCAGGACGAGAGTGAGCTGGAGAGCAGCCACACCGGCGAGGAAGCCATGGGTGCTGAAATTTACAAATTGTTGCCCCAAGAATTTGTCACTGAACAGGTGGCATTCCAATATCTGAAACAGGTGATGGGGCAGGCCAGGGCCAGGCAGGTAGCAGCAGAAGGGATAAGTCTTTGCAATAACTTATCCACAAGCCACAGCAAGAACCCAGGGAAGAGGTTGTGTCACTTGGGCCAGGCAGGTAGCAGCGGAGGAGTAAGTCTGCATCAGGGATCAATTTTGAAGGTGCAGCCAATAGGGGCTGTGCGTGGCCAGGATGCAGGGCTGAAAGGGGAGTTAAGGATGACAGATTTGGCCTGAGCAAGAGGAAAGGTGGAGCTGCCAGGCCCTGCAACAGGGAGGCAAGGAGAGAATGATCCAGAGTCAGCCTTGGGTGTGTCATGCACGAGTGACATCCAAGTGGAGACGTTTAGTTGGCAGGTGGACGCAGGAGTTCCAGAAAGTACTGGAACTGAAAGAGATGGAACTTTGCAAGTTCTTACCACACAGAGATGACAAGGAAAGCCCTGAGCCTGGCAGAGCTCACAGGGAAGCTGTGCACCCCAGGACACGATGAGAGGAGTGGCGGAGGTGCGGCGGTGGGGGGAAGACGCCCTAGAGTGCCTGGTGGTGCCCTGTAGCCTGAGCCAGTGAGGACCCCTCACAGGTCAAGGAAGGGCAGTGTCCAGCTCCATCTGTCCAGCTGCTGGTGAAGGACAGTGACCTGCAGAACACTCACTGGGTCTGGCGAGGGTCACGGGGGCCTGGCAAGGGAGGCTTGCATGCAGGGGTGTGCGAAAGGCTGGTTGGTGTGGGATTGAGAAAAGGGGTGGCGGCAGCCCAGTGTCACCTGCAGATGAAGGAGAGACACAACGTAGTTCATCCAGACAAGGGAATATGAGCTGGCCTGGAAAAGGAAGGAACTCCAACACACGACACAACATGGCTGACCCTGGAGGGCATCTGTGAAATGAGCCATCATCAAGGAACAAGTGCTATGGAGTTCCACTCCTGTGAGACAGGGTCTTACATGAGAGAAGGGGGATCCACAGAGACAGAGGGCAAGGGTGGGGGCCAGGGGCTGGGGACGGGGTGAAGAGTGTTGAGTGGGGACAGAGTGGCAGTTTGAGAAAATAAATTCCAGAGGCAGATGGAAGTGGTGGCCACATTTCATGCCACTGAACTCCACACTTAAGGATGGTGATGATGGCTCATTACATATACACTGATGACACTACATATAAACTTTATATACACACACGTTTTACCACGGTAAGAAGAGGCGGAGAAGAACTGGAGGCAGCCAGTACAGACAGGTCCTTCGAGGGGCAGGACCCGGGGCACAGGGTGAGCATGTGGTACCCCACCCGCAGGAAACGCAGTGGGTGGCCCAGGCAGGCACGGAGAGCACCAGGGATGGAAGCCTGTGAAGGGGGAGCAGGTGGCCCCTCAGAGCAAAGTGACAGCTTGGGCTGCTCCCTCCGCATCCTGCCCATGACTGCTACTGTGCTATGGGAGAGGCCCTGCTTCTCAGCAGGCAGCACCCTCTATGGAGGGCTTTACTCCTACACTTCTGGAGCCAGGGGAGGGACCTGGCTTGGAATATGGCCAACCAAGAAGAGCCCAGGTGAGAAATACACGGACCAGACAGGGAGCAGAGAAAGGAGCGGCAGTGCAGTCCCTCAGCCAGGGACTCTGGAGCCTGTCCTGCGGGCCCCGCCCCCACCTCTTCAGCACAGCTGTTTCCAGTTTTCTTTCTCTCCCTGCAAAGCCTCTCCCCTCACAATGGCTACACCTTCCAGAATCCTGCCTGCGGGCAGCTCCCAGACGTCCAGCCTGGCCCTCCTTAGCTGCAAAGGCGCTTCCAACGTCCCTCACACAGCCCCTGCCCCCAACTGACTCCAACTGTCCTGCCGCCGCCCATGGTCACCCTCAGGACCCCTGAGCTCACGCCAGCTGCTTCATACACTGTCAGCCAGGTCTCTGCCTGCGTGACAACCACCTTCTGCAAATTGTTCTCCACACCTCTAGGCCAAATGCCGTCCAAGCCACCTCACGCACCACAATGCTACCAAACACACAGAAAAGAGACATTGAAAAAAGGAAACTTCACAGAGGTGCGTCACTGAAACTGGGTCCCAAAACAGAGACACCATTTCCTCAGGACTTAGCTCCTACGTCAGGAGTTGGGACACAGGGATCAACAAGCAGCAGGCTCTGCCCTCAGGCAGCTAGCAGTCTAGTGGAAGATGAGTAAGAAAACAGATCAGGATGCCTACGACTGCAGACGCCCTGGAACAGACGCTGATCCAGGAACATGCGACTGTGCAGGCCGCCCTCCAGTGCAGGCTGGGCGCATGCCTCAGTTTCCAGCTCTAAGGGCCTGTGCCCCGGATCCATTGTTGTTCCATCCCCCCACTAGAAAGGGCACTCCAGAAGCCAGCCTCGTGCAGAACAGAGGAAGAGGCTGTCAGGGCTGGTGAGGGCAGTACCCGTCTGGACTTTAGCCTTTCAAAGCTCAGAGAAGGGTGAGCTCAGGGAGGCCCAAGATAGCCAAGAACACTTCCTGGAAAAGTGGGATCAGCCTTTGGCCTTGGCACAGCAACCTGAGGGCATGGCCCACATGGCCCCTACTCCCCCAGACACCACTTCTGAGACTGCCTGGAAAGGGACAGAGCTCGTCTGAGCATGGGGAAGGGTGATGGGAACCACCGGCCTGGACCCCGACAGGGCAGGCAAAAGCAAGCATCCTTCAGGGGTCCCCTACTGTTCCAAGAGACACACCTCTAACCTGCTCCCCGACCCCTCCACCCATTCCTCATGCAGACACCAGGCATGGCAGAGGTCCTGCAGGGGTAGCACAGGGCTGCGGGCAGGGGCCGCCTTCCTCATGCGCTGCTGAAGAGCAACACAGTGCAGGGCCTGGGCACTGGCGCCAGGCGGGAAGCCCCGGTCCTGGCCCGGCTTGCTGTGGGCCTGGAAGACACAGCTCCGAGGAGCCACCTGAGGAATGCCCTGGAGCCAGCACAACACTGTGTGGCAGGCACACACCCAGCACGTTCGCAGGACCAGAGCCCCGGCCCATTCCCAGCCCCTTTCTGCCTAGCTCTGCCCTGGGCAAGCTCCAGGTCACTGCCAAGGACAAGTCTCCTCTCCTAGCTGGCATTAGTCAGAGGTCATCCTGCAAACCTTCAGGAGGGGGTGGGGCAGGGAGTGACTAGTGGCGTTCTGCCATGTTCTGTCTATCCCAAATGTGACGAAGAGGAACCCAGAGAAAGCAAGCAAGTTCTCTACCTGGAAGCCTTGCCAGTTTACTGAGCCTCCCAAGCTGCCCACACCCAGGGAGGCAGACAGGACACACACTCAGCGGGTGGCCCTGAAGCGGGGCCTGGTCCAGTCCAGGGAGCAGGAGGGCAGAGAGGCCAGGGCCTTCGAGAACAGGTGTGAACCCAGCCTTCAGTGGGGGAAACAGGTTGAAGGGCTATGGCTACTTGAGAGCTCTAGACAGGAGAGGAGGCAGAACCCTCCCCATGGCCGTAGTCACACGCCGCACCACGTACACACCGTATCAATGTTTATTGCCCTCAAGAGAAACTCCAGTCCACCTGCTTCACCCGCCCTCCTTTGGGACCAAAGAAAACGCCCAGAGGGCAAAACAAAAAGGGCATTCCAATCTACGGGAAGCCAGCCCCACCGCAAGCCAGACTGCAACTAACTCGTGCCCTCCACGCTCAGGTGTGGAAGCCAGGGCTGCGCCAGGCCACGCAGGATGACAGCGAACGCATTCTGAACATGTGGTAATCAGGTCCCGTGTGCTGTGCTGGGAGAGTGTGGACAGGGGCCGAGATGACGAGCTATGTGCTGTGGAAGGAAATGGGGGAAGCAGAAGAGCACAAACAGAAGTACCAGAGGGAGAGGCCCGGCTCTCAGGAAGCAGCAGGCACGTGCCAGGTGGAAGCTGGCTGCAGGCAGGGGAGGAGGGAGGCCCTTACTCCTCCTTCTTGTCCGTGGGACCATCTACTGCAGCCTGGAAAGGGACAGAAATCCCACAGCAGTAGGTTGGCTGGGCCCACCCCTCCCCTGCCACCTGTAGCCCCATGCCTCCCGAGGCCCAAGCTTGGGTCTCCTCTCCCCTAACGACAGATATTCAAGTGAGCAAGGGGCCCCCTCCCCAGCTGTATCCGAAGGCCTGCCAGGGTGGGAGAGTGAGCCCTTGCCCACACTCTAGGGAGAGCCCCAGACCTAACACCAGCCAGGGAGGACCACCGGGACCTCACTGGGGGCCGAGTTCTGGCTGTGGGGAACAGCAGGGCCTGCCAGGCCCTTTCAAGACCTGATCAGGCCCTTCCCAACTCTGCACACCTTTGACAGGTGCCTTCAAGGCCCAAGTCCCGTCTGCAGAGCCTGCCCCATACAGATGATATAGGTGCCCCCTTTGGGGCTGGATCCTTCCTCCCCACCTGCTGTGGTGCCCAAACTTGGGCCGCCAAGCACCAAGGCCAGCTGTCCAAAGTTGGGCATATTTACGTGGCCCTGACTCCCAACATCAAGACCACTGGAGCTTCCAGACGCAGCCTGCTGCACCCAAGCTAGTCTGAGGACTCGGACGAGGCCTGGGGCAGCAGGCAATGGTAACAGCTAGCGCCTGCTGGGGGAGGCGCCTTTTTGGCACCTTGTGCCCTCACTTGCCCAGGGGTGTTTGCCCCATGTCACACCCGCAGCACTCTAGGAGAGAAAGCCAGCAGTGGGTCCCAGAGTTTCACCTGCTTCTGTTCTTGATGGGGCCGCAAACCATGGACTGAGTCTGAGCACGAAGGTAGGAAGGCTGAGAGCCTAGTGAGCCAGCGCCACTCCTGAGGGCCACCCCTCTCCTGCCCAGTGAAGGGTCCCACGCAGCAGGGCAGAGGCAGCCAGCGGGAGTAGGGGAGAAGGCAGCCGGCCCCTAGGCCTCCGGAAGGCTCCCTCCCCCCTGCAGGGGCTGCCCCATCCTGTTCTGCTCTCCTGCCCTGGACGCGGCAGCATGGGAGAGCTGACCTGCAGCTTTGCATGCTCCTCCAGCAGGCGGTCATACTCCTTGGTGAGACCCTCGGACTGCTTCCGCATGGCCAGAGCCTGGTTTTCAGCTTTCTCTAGTTCTGGAAATGATGTAAATGACCAAGAAAAGAGAAATGAAAAGGCTGGAATTAGGGGGGAAAACTCGACTGCTACAGATACCAGAAACTAACCCAAATCTATCTCAAATGAGGCTATATAGGAGCCCACTTCTCAAATAAAGCCCCTCTTATTTTGCAGGTCCCAAAGTAGAGGGAAAGGGCTGACAAAAAAGCTACATAAAGTCAAAGAAATACAGAGGATGTCCCCTAGTCCCTTTAATGGAGGAAACTCTAGTGGCTCTCAGCCGGGGCCACCTTCAGGGAGGCTGAGAGCCAAAAGCAGGCAGTGAGATCCCAGCCTGAAAGCAAGACCCCTGATGACAACCGTGCTTGCAGAGAGCAGCAGCAGCTGAGGCCTGTGGTGTTGGGGAAAACACCCCGGACTTAGTCTATGCGTGGGAGAGCAAAGACAGGCAGGCCACTTGGGAGCCACCCATTCCCTTCCTGAACGCCACTCCCACACTCCCCTTATTCTCAGCCCCCAGGCATGCTGAGGCTCCTGTGCCACACTCTGGACAGGAAAGTCCCAGGGTGCACTGCTCTAGCGCGGGGCAATCGAGGCCCTGCAGCTGCAGCCTGGTTCCTCCTAGGACCCGCTCAAACCACTTAGCCTCAACGGCCTGCAGGCTAAGCGTGGCCGCATTGGGGTTGGAGGCACAGGGTGCTAATTTGTTTTCAACCAGCCCTCAAGCGTGCGTGCGTGCGAGGCTTATTACTAATACTTTGGCATAAGACAGGCAGCAGTGGGCAGAGGAGCCTCCTCTGGACCTCCCTGAAGGGGAGGACACAGGGCTGAGCCTCACTTTGCTTAGTGCTGGCCAGCTCGTCCTTTAGCTTCTGCAGGTCGGCCTTCAGGCTCCTGTTCTCTTCCTCCAACTTCACCTCAGCATTCCCGACATCCAACTTGCCTCCATCAACAGCAGCTCCCTGGGAAAAGTGCCAAAGGCCAGGGTTACTGAGGGAAGGAGGGAGGGAGGGGCTCCAGCCCCATCCTCCCCACAGAGCGGCGGTTCCTCAAGCTGCCCTGGACACTTGCCCCTTCGGAAATGTCAGCGCGGAACCGAGCCACCACTTGCTCCCAGCTCCTAGGCAAAGGCCAGGGCGTGGCTGCACGCCGAGGGAAAGAGAAGCGCCAGCAGGGCCACCTGCTGCAGCTCGCCAGGCATGCC